CCCCCCCCCCCCCCAATTCCAAAAAACAGAAACCACCTTGCGTAAGAAACAGTCTGTATAGCGTGTGTCTTGAATGAAACACTGCCAAGGGATTTCTACGCGTGTCAATCCTTCAAGACCCCCGTGAAGACCCACCTACTACACTTGATGTATCTCTTGAGACAGCAGAGAGCGTTGTTGCTTTGCCCTCTTCGGTAGACTGAGAGAGCACGGGCGGGATTCAGTTCCTCGAAGAGGGCTACAAAGTAAACGTTGTCCCCTGCTTTATCCTTCTTGAGGGAGTTAGGTGTCCCGGATTTTCCTATCGGCAATTCTTTGCGCCGAAGAAATGCGACATCCGGCCGACGACCCTTCAACAGTACCTCGGTATGCTATGTGATTCACGGACCGCTTCGTTTCGGGTTCCTTCCGACGCCTACTCGATTGAGTACTCGATTAAGTACTCGATTGAGTGGGAGTGGTGGTTGAGACGGCGATGTGTTCCCGCGAGAATGGTTGCCCACGCACATCAACAAAACGGGGATGTTAGCCTTGTTGAACCTGCCGCGGCAGTTCTGTACGCGCTTCCCCTATGCGTTGCGTCGTGCACGGCATCAGACCACGGTCGACAACCAGCCGGTCGTGACCGTGAGACTCACGCCTCGCTGGTGCGGCTCTTCGACTTGCAGGAGGAGTACGCGTTCATGTCATGTTGGTGCTCCGATGGGTACCGACGGCGGAGAACGATGTGGTGAACGCGATTTCCAGCCCGTGACTCGATCATCGGCCTTACGCCTGGCGGGTTCCAAGGCTTGCGGGACTCCCTGGGCCCGTTCGACCTGGACCTCATGGCGTCTACGGCTTCCGCGCAGCGGGCACACCGGGGGGAGAGGATGTTACCGCTGTTCTCCCAATTCGACTGCCCTGGGTCAAAATGCCGTCTACTGCAAAATGCCTGGAACAGGGGCTCCCGTTTTCGGGTATTGTTCTCCCCCTCCAATCATGGCGGGACACGTGGTACAGCACCTAGCGGAATGCCGAGCGCGTGCCATTGTGGTCGTTCCAGACACCAACGCCGTATTGATTTCCGTTGCTCCAGCAGGCGGTGGTTCGGTCCCAGAGAATGGCTCAGCGGGCCCAGGCCGGCGTCTTTCATTGGCCCTGCCGGCATAGATCCTGGCGCGGGTGGCCGTACCCGCGGTGGGCGATGGTCCCGTATGACGTTGACTCCCGTCAGGTGCACGGCCTCTTCTTTCCTGGGTGTCTTTGTTTCCCCTGTTAGCCTTGTTGGTACTGTGGAGATCAACCGTAGTGTCGTCGAAAACAAAGCAGCAACATCGACCCCCCACCCCCACCCCGCCCCGGTGTTTGCCATCGGGGTTGGGTTTTCGTCGCTTGGCAAGGACGTTGTAAAACAAGCCGCCCGTACGGTGTTTGCCATCGGTTTTGGTCTTCGTCGCTTGACAGCGATGTTGTAAAACAAGCCGATCACTTTGTGAGCTCGACAACCAGGTAACCGCTTCTTTTTTTTGCCTCTGTTTTTCTTTTTGGCGGTAACCATGAATGGTGGTCTAGTAGATTGTGTTGTGCGGGGTCGAGAACCCTCACTCCGCGCAAGGGGATAATCGCACCACGTTGTGTTAAAATGGTCAAGCACCCTCGAGGCAGCTACACAATGCTTACAACTAACTGTCTCTGGAAGTGAAAGCACCAGAAAATAAAATAAGTCATACGCAGCTGTCATCCGTACGCAAGGAAGTAAGCACAAGATGCCGAACACCCTTAGCAGGATGCAGCGCACCCTTCATGCGACTCGCCGAATACCTCATGGCGCTTCGCGCTTGGTGATGTGAGAGCCTGGTCCGGTGAGAACCTGGCGTGCTCCGTCCCGGCTTTGTAGGGATGCGAGGTCAACGGTCTAACGACTACGGCATGCACGACTATGAGTTCACCCCCCTCCCCCTCTCCCGTTGTCTCGCACCGTTGACGCACGGCTCGGAACATATCTTTGACAACGACAAACAAAAAAACAAACCAACGAAAAAAACAAAAAAACGCACTGCAGTCGCCTACAAAGCAACAAGCACCGATCCCCCCCCCGTTCTGTAGCACCGCTGCCGCAGGGCACGGAACACCTCTCCGACCACAACAAACCAAACGCAAATCAACAACAAACAAGCACCTGCAGCCCCAAAGAAAGCAACAAGCATCGGCCCCCCTCCCCCCCCCCCCGCTCTCTCGAACCGGAGTCGAACGGCACGGAACACTTCTTCGACCACGATAAACAAAACAACAAACATCAACAAAAAAAAACGCACTGCAGCCGCCTACAAAGCACCAAGCATCGACACCCCCCCCTCCTTCTCCCCCCCCGGTGTTTGCCATCGGGGTTGGGTTTTCGTCGCTTGGCAACGACGTTGTAAAACAAGCCCCCCACTCGGTGTTTGCCATCGGGATTGGGTTTTCGTCGCTTGGCAACGACGTTGTAAAACAAGCCCCCCACTCGGTGTTTGCCATCGGGGTTTGGGTTTTCGTCGCTTGGCAACGACGTTGTAAAACAAGCCAATTCACTTCGTGAACTCGGCAACCAGGCTACCGTTTTTTTTTTTACCTCGTTTTTTTTTTTTGGCGGTAACCATAATGGTGGTCGAGTAGATCATGTTGTGCGGGGTGGAGAAACCTCACTCCGCGCAACGGGGGATGATCGTACCACGTTGTGTTAAAATGGTCAAGCTTCCTCGAGGCAGTTACACAGTGCTTACAACTGTCTCTGGAAGTAAAAGCACCAGAAAGTAAATTAAGTCATACGTAGCTGTCATCCGTACGCAAGGAAGTAAGCACAAGATGCCGAACACCCTTAGCAGGATGCAGCTCACCCTTCATGCGACTCGCCAAATACCTCACGGCGCTTCGCGCTTGGTGATGTGAGAGCCTGGTCCGGTGAGAACCCGGCGTGCTCCGTCCCGGCTTTGTAGGGATGCGAGGTCAATGGTCAAACGACTACGGCATGCACGACTATGAGTATGAGTACACCCCCCCTCCCCCCGCCCCTCTCCTCGGTGTTTGCCATCGGGTTTGGTCTTCGTCGCTTGACAGCGATGTTGTAAAACAAGCCGATCACTTCGTGAGATCGGCAACCAGGTTACCGCTTCTATTTTTTGCCTGTGTTTTTTCTTTTTTTGCGGTACCCATGAATGGTGGTCTAGTAGATTGTGTTGTGCGGGGTCGAGAACCCTCACTCCGTGCAAAGGGGATGATCGCACCACGATGTGTTAATTGGTCAAGTACCCTCGAGGCAGTTACACAATGCGTACAACTGTCTCTGGAAGTGAAACCACCAGAAAATAAATTAAGCCATACGCAGCTGTCATCCGTACGCAAGGAAGTAAGCACAAGATGCCGAACACCCCTAGCAGGATGCAGCGCACCCTTCATGCCACTCGCCGAATACCTCACGGTGCTTCGCGCTTGATGATGTGAGAGCCTGGTCCGGTGAGAACCCGGCGTGCTCCATCCCGGCTTTGTAGGGATGCGAGGTCAACGGTCTAACAAATACCGCAAGTACGACTAAGAGTATCCCCCACCAACCCCCGAGAGAGAAAAACAGAATCTAAGGAAAGAAACCGAGGATAAGGAGGGTCTAGAAGTGTACGGAATGTTGGAAAGAAGGGAATGGTTCAAGGACTACCTACATGGGCCAACGGATGCAGGGACAACGCTTACAGTCAAATTCAGGACCGGGGGCATAGGCCTTCGAGAACGTCGACGGAGACATAGGACGGTAGACGACGACGACAAGTTCAGATATGATTGCGGCTCCGAGTGCGAAGACGGGGTTCATGTAGTCGCGGAATGTCAGCTGTACGAAAAGGAGAGGGAAGTATACATGACTGGGCTGGGAAAAATAGAAGGGGCGTACAGGGACATGTTTAAGGCATGGGATAGAGAGGAGAAGACGGTAGCTGTACTGGGGGATAGGAAGTGGTTTGAAAAGGCGGGAAGTGATATCGGTAGGATAGATAGACTAAGAAAGACATTTTTGAGCCACCTTTGGCAAAGTAGGAAGGAACGATTGGCCATCGGTGATCGGTCCTGCGGGAACAATGCTCCGTCCTCTCGAGGACGCGTGGTCAATGGTCTAACCGCTAAGGCATGCAAAACATAAGAGTACCCCCCCGCCCCGCCCCCCGACAGCGAAGGTGGTGTGGAGTGAATTAGCTCCTGATGTGGGTAAGAACTCG